ACTGACTGCCTATTGTGTGACCCACTGACTGCCTACTGTGTGACCCACTGACTGACTGCCTATTGTGTGACCACTGACTGACTGCCTACTGTGTGACCACTGACTGCCTACTGTGTGACCACTGACTGCCTATTGTGTGACCACTGACTGCCTATTGTGTGACCACTGACTGCCTGCCTACTGTGTGACCCACTGACTGCCTGCCTACTGTGTGACCCACTGACTGCCTACTGTGTGACCCACTGACTGCCTACCTACTGTGTGACCCACTGACTGACTGCCTACTGTGTGACCCACTGACTGCCTACTGTGTGACCCACTGACTGACTGCCTACTGTGTGACCCACTGACTGACTGCCTACTGTGTGACCCACTGACTGCCTACTGTGTGACCCACTGACTGACTGCCTACTGTGTGACCCACTGACTGACTGCCTTCTGTGTGACCCACTGACTGCCTACTGTGTGACCCACTGACTGCCTGCCTACTGTGTGACCCACTGACTGCCTACTGTGTGACCCACTGACTGCCTGCCTACTGTGTGACCCACTGCCTGCCTACTGTGTGTCAGGGTACCTTTGGTGTCTACCTCGGAGGAGGTTAGACACCTAGACGTCCATCCTCCCAGGGGGGCTGACTCACCCGATCCTTGCACTCCTCCCGGTCGTTTACACGCCGGCCGCGATAGCTCCGCCTCCTTTTATGACGCGGCGCTCAGTAGCCGACGTCAGGACGGCAATCACGTTCCGACCCGTCAATCACAGCAACCAAGTGCCGAACAACCAATCAGGACCCGTTGGGGGCGGAGCCAACAGTTAAAGAGCCAAGGTATAAAAGAGGGTTCTGTGGAATGATTCATTGCCCTGTCGTGGTTCTAGCTAGTCTGGTCACTCAGTGCAATTACCTCTATTGTCTTTTGGTTCCTGACTCGGCTTGTATTTTGCCCCTGCTTTCCTCTCTTGTCCTTTTGACTCGGCTTGTCTCTCGCTTACCTGATCTCTCGTTCCCTCGACCTCGGCTTGTCTCTGACTATTCTTTTGCTTTCTCCTTACGTTAGTCCGGCCATTCTAAGGTCCGGTATACGTACCTATCCCCTGTTTGTATTCTGCGTGTTGGATCCCTGTCTCGATCCTGACATTACGACAGGGCCAATGGATCCTGCAGGTACAAACTCTCAGGTCGGTTCTCCTGACTCTAGATTTGAGGCCATGGATCATAGAATGGACCAGATGGCTCTAGCTCTGCAAGCATTGCTATCTCGTCCTAGTAGTCACTCAGAGGAGATGCGTACCCCATCTATCTCTCCTATAAGTACAGGCCTAGAGGTAGCCACAGTGGCTACTTCTTCCCGTGTTACGTCCCCGTCACGCTATGGCGGCGCTCCTGACACTTGTCGAGGTTTTTTAAACCAGATTGGTATTCATTTTGAATTACAACCCCACGCCTACCCTACTGACAGGGCAAAGGCTGGATTTATAATTACCTTGCTCATTGACAAGGCACTTAGATGGGCTAACCCCCTGTGGGAAAATGATAACCCGTTAGTTTATAATTATAATGCTTTTGTCGCTGCATTTAGGAGAGCTTTTGACCCTCCAGGAAGAAAGGTCAATGCAGCTAGACTACTGTTACGTCTTAGACAGTATAACCGAACCCTAGTGGATTATGCCTTGGGGTTCAGATCCTTGGCGGCAGAGGTCAAGTGGAATGAACAGGCTTATATGGACGTATTTATGAACGGGTTATCTGATGAGATTTTAGATGAGGTGGCCACAAGAGATCTTCCTGAAAATTTGGAGGATCTGATTTCATTTATTTCCCGAATAGATGAACGTATGAGACAGAGGCAGAATATTAGGGATAGAACCCGCAGATCCTCCATAAGACTAGCTCCCTCATTTCAGACTTCTGATTCTACTACTTTAGCTCTCCCAGAACCTATGCAAATAGGTCATACTCGACTCTCAGAGGAGGAAAGACAGTACAGGAGAAG